TTAAGGCTGTGACAACCTATGAGTCATTGTCACAGGCTGTGAGAGCCAGCAGGCCCTTGGAAATCGTGTTGTCCTGTCTCGTTAAGGAGCAGGTTAAGGGCCTAGCTCAAGGTCATGCTAGCCAAAATAGAGCCAGCTCTAAGATGCAAACGGCTAGCGCTGGTCAGAGCAAGAGAGACAGGCCACTTTGCGACTCTGAACTCATTAGCTGACCAGCAGGTAATGCACAAAATGAACAAAGCATTTAGTAGGTTATTTAAATAACTGGTTAAGACTAGGAACATCTAGTCTAGTGGTCATGACCCATCAAAAGTGAGGCTGTAATAATTATCTAATGAGGTTCATCCTCTATAAAGTCGGAGAAATCAAGGAGATAATATTGTGAGGCATGTGATTTAATCATATTATGCTTTATGAGTGTTATGCTTGGTTGAATCTTATTGCCCTTTTGTTCAAACTGCGGCTTTCTCATTTTAATCAACAATTAATTAAAGTTTTAAAAATCCATTTTAATTAAGAATAGGAAAAAATGTTTCAGACTGCTAGAAATATTTCAAATGTAAATTCCATAAATCTCTACAAAGGATCTGGGTTGGGAAGAGCTGTGATTTGCAGTGGCTTCATATTTGCCAAATCACTTAGAAACAGTCCTGAGATTAGTTCCATATACCATGAATAACAACAGGACGGCTTTGTTAAAAAAACAAAAATCAAAAAAATCCTATTAGTCCTTTATGAATAATGTCCAACCAAAGACTTGGTATGATGTAGGTTTCCAGAGAATCCTTTCCCTTGACATTGATGATTACTTACCCATAACATCTATTATAAAATGATGCGTTGTTTATTCTTGTTATTATAAAAGGAGGGTGCAAGCTGTGTCAGTGTTCTTGGGTTGAGGATTTAAATAAGCCCTTTGGTTTATGTTGCATACAAGAAGGCTTTACAAGATCTAATCTTTTCTAAACCTGTTATGTTCTTTGGTTCAGCAGAGCTTCCTAATTGTAGCTATTAGTTCCTCCTTTTTTGTGGTCTGTTCTGTCAATAGACTATTGAGTGTTCAGTAAATTAAGCCCAACCAACAACCAACACATTGAGACAGACGTTAAATCATAGCGTGGCTGCCCTTATTCATTATTAGTATCTGTGAAATGGCTTTTAAATACAGGCACAGGATTTAACATGATGCACATTTGTGTCACTCTCAAATTTCCATCCTGTGCAATCAGGTATGTGAGGGTTTTGTTTTTTTCTAGACAACAGGTGTGTTCTTGGAATAAAGTTCAACCCCCACTTCTGGCTTATGTGAGAGGCAGCAGCTGCAAGTTTAATGCCAGTGACACATGGTTCTATAAGAGAGAGAGAGAGAAAAATAAACTACTTGTTCAAAGTATTAAAGTAATGGGCAGATGGACTATAGCTGCCTGTACTTTTGTGTTGGAGAGCCAGAGTCTAAACTTTCATACGACAAATGTTTCTTTCTCTCTTTTTCTCTTTCTTTCTTGCTTGTTTGTCTTCCTTCCTTCCTTCTTTTATCCTTTCTTTCCCTTCCTTTCTTAGGTCTTATAAAAACTAGTAGAAAACACGAATTTCCTTACTTATTACACATTCATAATTATTCATTATTAGGATATTCCTTCATCTGAGTCATCCTGTTTACAGAGTGCTGAGTGGAGAGAAGAAAAAACTTAATATAAATCAAACTTCACTGTGTTCTAAAAAATATTTAAAGGGACTGTTTACTAAGCAATTTGAAGATGATACGCAAATCCTACATTTAAAAAAATGCAAATTTAATACACTTATTTATAGCTCTCATATTCTCTTGTAAAAAGCTTCTAGATAGAATTTGTGATATGTTTCTAATGAATTATAATGTCCTGTATATCTTAGAAGTCTAACGTCAACATTAATTAATAGGAACAATAATGCTAAAATAATAGTTGGGCATTGTGGGGGGGTGCCTGTAGTTCCAGCTACTTGGGAGGCCGAGACAAGAGGATCACTTGAGCTTGAGAGTTTGAGGTTGCTGTGAGCTGTGATGCCATGGCACTCTACCAATGGTGACAAAGTGAGACTCTGTCTCCAAAAAAAAAAAAAAAAAAGCTAAACTAATTATTGTGATAGTGTTCAGAAGAGTAAAGGATCACCAATTACTCAAACATCTCTTTTTTTTTTTTT